TATCCTGCTCATGTTATTGATCGCTCCATTCGTAAAGTTCCTACTATTGATCGTACCACCGCTCTCACTCCTCACACTCGTCCCTCTAATGATCGCATTCCTTTCAGTGAAAGGTGTTGCATTTGTATCCCCAGAAAATATTCTTAATTTTTCGCACAGAAAACATTAATTTTTTAGATATGCAAACATGTACCTCAGAACTAAATTATTCGTAAATTATTCTTTTAACCTCAATGTAAATAAATCCACAAAATTTGATGCTATATAATGTATATTATTATATGACCTCACATGTTGATTTCTACGAAGGAAGGAAATCGGAGAAAAAGAAGAAAACCCTCGTTGTAAGTGAGAGAACAACACATCAGACAAACTCAACTCACATATATGATCCAGTTTGAGCCTCGTTTTTAACCCGCACGTCACCACAGCGGTGAAAGGCAGTAAACCACTATTTTACAAAGCTAGCTTTTTTTTTTTTTTTTTTTTTTTTTTTTTTTGATTTTTGATTTTTTGTATTCTTTCAAAGGTATAATGAGACATCAAAGATGATAGATTACTTGTTAGATAAAGAGCAATATGATAACAGACTCCGCCCTGGCTTCCAGGAACAAATCGTCAATGTAACGGTTGCCATGACGATTGTGCACTTCGGACAAATTCGAGAAAAAGAAATGGTGAGCGTTGTAGTTTTGAAGTTGGAACGTTTCAGTAAGCGTCTGTACTAGCATTTAGCATTTTAAAAATAATCTTATATAATCACACAAATGGTAAGTAGCCCCCTCCTCACGCGGTAAAAAACCTAAACATTCATGCAGTCACATGGTAAGTTTGACATACCGATGTTCTGCAAACGAGTAGCCCCCTTCCTAAAGCTTGTGGCTACGCCCCTGCAATACATCATAACTTATGAATTCAGGTTGTCCACTAGATAAAGTGAGACCACTAGATACAGGGTGACCACTAGATACAGGGTGACCACTAGATACAGGGTGACCACTAGATACAGGGTGACCACTAGATACAGGGTGACCANATACAGGGTGACCACTAGATACAGGGTGACCACTAGATACAGGGTGACCACTAGATACAGGGTGACCACTAGATACAGGGTGACCACTAGATACAAGGTGACCACTAGATACAGGGTAACCACTAGATACAGGGTAACCACTAGATACAGGGTGACCACTAGATACAGGGGGCCACTAGATACAGGGTGACCACAGGTTGACCACTAGGACCACTAGATACAGGGTAACCACTAGATACAGGGTGACCACTAGATACAGGGTGACCACTAAATACAGGGTAACCACAATGGGACCACTAGGTAAACGGATACCAAGCTCCCTAAGTTTCTTCATGTGTTTCTTTTGTTTATCTGTTTTAGGATTTCAATATAGACATATTTTTTTATCAAGAATGGTATGACGAAAGGCTTGTTCACTCCCTTCCATATCCTATAAACCTAAGTGGTGGTAATCACAATCATCTCGTTTGGATGCCAGATACCTTTTTCTTAAACATCAAAACAGCCAAGACCCATGACGTACCCTCAGAAAATACCAAAGTCACAATTCGGAATAATGGTCTGGTTAGGTATAGTACCAGGTAAGTTATCGTTTTCTTTGATTAATTACATTCGATATATACTTAATTATAACCATGACATACCACGAGAATCTTACCAGTTGAGCTAGTCTACAATAGTAATATTTGGTAGTAGAATGATTCAATACTGTAAGGGAGAGGTATTCTAGTAGCTAGAGTCGTGCTCTCCCCTCTATCCGCATGCACCATAAATTAATTTACGCACGCTAAGCATTGACCGTTGCTTAAATGTACCATTCTCTACCATTTCCCTCACTCAATTTTTATACTTTTTAGATTAACATTAACAGCTGGATGTGAAATGAACTTACTGGATTATCCTCTGGATGCACAAACATGCAGTCTCACTATAGTGAGCTGTAAGTCATAATTAAGACTATCTTTTAGCTGTTGCCACTCCGATATTGATCTTATTGATTACATTGACAATGTGGGCCTCCGCCAGCTAGTTATGTAGTTTTGTTTCATATATTTTTTTGCTGTTAATAAACCTCAGCTTTCGACGTCTTCTTGATTTGGATCATGCAGATTAGCCGAAAAGTTTCGCGCAGGTGATGCACGCCTGCCCTTCCGCGTTACACAGATATCTGTAGCAGATCGATTGAAACTTGTGAGAATTTAACACATTCAGTGGTCTCTATATTTTAGTGTCTTGAGTGAATATGAAAAATTAATTGCTTTCTGTTTTTACTTTTTTTATTGCTGTTGTTGTTGTTGTTGTTGTTGTTGTTGTTGTGTTGTGGTTGTTGCTTTTAACTTAAGACAGTTGCATTTCATTGGAATCTTCAGATTCATATCCTATAGAAGACCTTGTCTACGATTGGGCTGGAAGTACTGACGAAAGTATTGAAGTCATGAACACAGCCATGAATGAGTTTACCCTAGAAAGCATAGCACTCCAAAAGGAAAACTACAAGTATAAGGCTGGTAGGGAATAGTTGTTTTGCTTATAATACCCTCAACAAAATTATTCGATTCTGATTGGACAAGAGGTGTACAATTAAATCGTTAATTGTACTATATAGAGTTACAAGTTGCTCAATTTCGTTGAGTGTATCACTATTCGGAATTGATCGATAATCGTAATATTTTTAAAAGTCTCCAATCGAGTCCAATTTTGAAAAAAAAATTCAAAATATCACTCGTACATATCAATTCCGAATTGTACTGCGATTTCCTATACTATACTTGCCAATACTTCCTTTCACAGCGTCCTGCGCCATCTTGAAAGGTAGCGGCGCCTTTGAATAATTGTGTAAGATGTTTAAAAAGGTATCTATTATTGCAAGCTCACCGTTCCTCTCGCTTCTATCGAAAGGCTTGGATACCTTTCAAGATGGCGCAGGGAACTGTGAAGGGGACTATTGCCATCGTTAGCCCATAAAAGTGAATTCAGTTCTTGTTTCTTAGGAATTTGTTTGTTTATTTCACACCTTTTATACAAGGATTTTATTCGTATATCTCCATAATTCTTCCCTCAATTTCTTAGACGTGCCCTGACTTAGACCAACCCACATAGGTAGCTCGAGAGCTGGATGAAATTGATTTTCGGTTTGTTTTAGGTTACTGGACACACCTCAATGTCTTGTTTACCTTCAAACGCAGAATTGGGTATTCGATGTTACAAGTCTACGCACCAATATTATTGATTGTAACTTTATCTTGGCTGTCTTTCTGGATCTCAAAAGATGCTGCTCCAGCAAGGATAGCTCTAGGCATCACTACTGTGTTAACTATAGTCACACTGATGGGATCATTAAGGAGCGAATTTCCAAAGGTAATCGTCTTATAATTTATAGATAAAACTGCCTAATGCTCGTTGCCATTGAAGAGGTATATAACAACAATAAAATAAAGTAAAATAAAATAAAATAAAATAAAATAGGACAGGACAGGACAGGACAGGACAGGACAGGACAGGACAGGACAGGACAGGACAGGATAGCATAAAATAAAATAAAATAAAATAAAACGAAACGAAACGAAACGAAACGAAACGAAA